GAGAACAGTGTACAACACTGAGTACACCTATGACCAACTCAAGCAGGATTTTATAAAAGCATGGCTTTGCAGTACAACTATACAGCTTAACAGTGATGTTGGATCCATTTCTTTCTCCCATTGCTTAATAGGAACCATTTGTTCCATGCAAATAGCAACTCAGACTTGCAAGTTGATAGGTACCAGTGCCACCAATGTAATGCAAGCTGAAGGTGCCCCCATCCACCACCTCTCAGATCACTGAGATTACCAACAGAAGAGGGTCTTTGTCAAGGCTGGGTGGTCTCTGGTCTCATGTTTCTTTGCATGTTACCGATGACAACCTAATATGAGCAAGAGGTGATATCTGTCAGAGTGATCTTTTCACCAAAGTACAAAGTGTCTCCTCTGTGTTGTAGAGGTACAGTATGGGCCTTGGCTAGAGACTACTGGTTGATGTACTTCCTGCCAATGGCATCACACTGGTGGGGTGGAAGTAGACTGTGGTCCTCCTGGATACATTCTCATTTTTTCACATGTGGGGATCACTGTTAACAGCTAATTAATGGATGCATAGGCTGTAAGGGATAAAATATAGATAGGCTTTACTTTCTCCATGTGTATTACATGCCAAAACCAACTGATCAAAACCAATCTTTCTATGGCATTCAATGACAACTAACCAAAACTGATATACTCACAGCAAAAATCAATTGGCGCATTTGGATTTTATTTTGTGATTCATCATTGTTCTTTTTTGTGAGTGCAGATTTAGGCCAGCACCTATGTGTAGCACAATATGTACAGCATGTGCCCAAAAAGCAGCAAAGCCAAACACATACTATTTTACCTATTAATAGCACCATTTAGGTTGTTTGTAAATACATGGTCAAATGATGACCAACCAACCCCTCATGCACAATACACCAGCTGCCCTGTTCCCTCAAGTTCAAACCAAAGAGTCTGTTCTTTCAAATATCTTCTGGATTCCTGTGTATCTGCTGAGTCAGATCTGTAGAGCAACATCTGCGATGCAAATGTGGGTAACACACAGGATGACTAACATCTTTGCATGAGAGATACGCATTTGCAAATGTGAAATATTTTGTGGTACACAAGGCTCCATAAGCTTTGTATATGCATAAGCATAAAATACTCTCACAGTGGCAAACATATTTTGATAAGAATTAATAGGAATGCTTATTCACAGCGGTTTTTGATGAGTAACTTAGAATTTTAAAAGACAAAGAGCAATCATCATTATGATTAATGGCTTGTAGCACTGGTTTCTGAGTTATTTTCCTTCCAGAAACTTTGTCTGCATGGAGTTTGTTTATAGAACCCACTTACTTTATTATGAATTAATAGAACACTAAATAGCACAAATTACTGTCACCTACCTGCCCGAAAAACCTCTATACCTCGAGCACTCACAGAATTATAAAACTAAAATGATGATCATATGTATTGTAAACAGGGAAGATTGTGTTTTTTAGTCTTTTATTTTGTATACATTGGGTGTTTTTGTCATATCAGCACAATTATCCCCTTGAGGTATACTTCCGTAGAGGGCCAGGAATTTATGTAGTATCCACAAGCAATTGTGACATTGTAAACCTTCTCATGACTTAGTCCACCTGCATGCTTTAGAAAGCTCAGAACCCACAAGTGATAGAAAACAAATTACATTACTTAACCTTTTTTCCAAGGAGTACATGGCATGGAGGAAGTCTGTATTACAAAAGGCCGGAAACAGGGTGACTATGCACATAGGATATTATTCAGGGCTAAAAACAAGTATAGTTTGTGAGAAGTGAGCTTACATGAACCCGTATACTTAAATTCAGTATCACTTACTGTGATCTTTATGAATAGGTCAATAGGAAATACAAGTGCTGAATATTTGTACAATGAGCCTATTCATTGAGGGTCCAGTTCAGTTACTTCAGACAGATGTGATGACATAATGATCTGGATTGAAATGAATAAGGGGTTTAGTGTGCTTTACAGATATATAAAATAAAAATCAGATGCCTCTGTCTGTTCAGGTCAAGCTCCTTCTCTATTGCTTTGATTTACCAAGCGTACAGAAATGATTCAGACATAACATCTAATACATGTTATGTGTTTCGCAGGAAGAGTTTCCGGCTTAGGGATGCATAATTTGCTGGATGGTAAAAAAAGATGTTTATTATGTCTCACTGAAGATGACCGCTTTGAACTAGATGTACCAAAATATACATAGGCTTATTTAATGTGTCAGCAAAATAACACATACCGGTAGATATATTTTGAATGAAACTGTATGTGCTGTAAATCCTTACATTGAGCTGAATGTAGAAATATACTTCAAGGATCATCTACTGTAATCCAGTGATTCTCAACCTTTTTTCAGTCAAGGCACCCTTTAAAATTATGGACAGTCCCGAGGCACCCTTTAAAATTATGGACAGTCTTGAGGCACCCCATTCTAAAATGGGGTGCCTCTAGACCAGGGGTGGGCAAACTTTTTGACTTGAGGGCCGCAATGGGTTCATATATTGGACCCGGGGGCCGGACCAAGAGTAGATGAATGATGTGTATGTGTCATCCATAGTAAGTATAGTAATATTCCCCCATAGTAAGCATAGTAAATAATCCCCCATATAGTAATTCATCCCCCATAGTAATTCATCCCCCATATAGTAATTCATCCCCCATAGTAATTCATCCCCCATATAGTAATTCATCCCCCATATTAATTCATCCCCCATAGTAATTCATCCCCCATATAGTAATTCATCCCCCATATGGTAATTCATCCCCCATATAGTAATTCATCCCCCATATAGTAATTCATCCCCCCTATAGTAATTAATCCCCCCTATAGTAATTCATCCCCCATAGTAATTCATCCCCCATATAGTAATTCATCCCTCATATAGTAATTCATCCCCCATAGTAATTCATCCCCCTTATAGTAATTCATCCCCCATAGTAATTCATCCCCCATAGTAATTCATCCCCCCCTATAGTAATTCATCCCCCCTATAGTAATTCATCCCCCCTATAGTAATTCATTCCCCATATTAATTCATCCCCCATATTAATTCATCCCTCATATAGTATTTCATCCCCCACAGTACTATTCCCCCCCAAGTAGTAAGCCAAGTCCCCCCTGTGTCAATTCACTTACCTTTGCTCCGCGCGTTCCTCTCGCCGTGTTCCCGCGCCGTTCCGGTCTTCAGGGCGGACTGTGAGAGGAGCCTAGCTCCCCTCCCCTCACGTTCGTCACGCTGCCCCGCCTACACACATCCTGACAGCCACATCCGCGGGCCGGATTAAAAGGTCCGCCGGGCCGTATACGGCCATAGTTTGCCCATTGCTGCTCTAGCCTGTCCATAATTTTAAAAGGGCACCCCATTCTAAAATGTGAAAAACTATTTTAATAGTTTTATATAAAACAGCAACAACCACACATGTAGGACACCCAGCATTAGAGGTGATTTATTCTTCCAAAGCAAATACACTTTTGCACACTGGTACTGACTAGTATTCCAGTGTTTCTCTTCTCCCTCAGTTTTTCTCCATCACCGAGCTAATGTGACCCAAGCACTGATGGAAAGGGGCAGGGGAGGGGCAAACTAGAATGCTGTGCAGGCAGCCGACATCCTCCTTATCCACTGATGATGTCATTGGTTGTCAGGACGCCGGAAGCTATAAGGTTGTAATGGTACACTATGAAAACCTGTGGCTTTGTGTAACTAAAAGGCAGGCTTATTCCACCCGCTGGCTTGTATACAAGTTTTGGGCAATTTTGGACATTGCCAACGCACCCCTGAAGAAACCTCAAGGCACCCCGGTTGAGAAAGGCTGGTCTAATCTACCAAGCGGGACTTATATTACCCTAATACAAAGACATTCAGATCTTACATGATCATCATAGCATAATACATTTTCTATATTAAAGTGGAACTCGCAAAGAAAACAGCTAACAGTGTAACTAAATGCAAAATTTTCAGTTTTGGATAGAGTGGAGAGGGATTAGAACACCTGGATTTAATTGCTGTCTGTACCCCATTATGAATATTTACTCTCTCTATTTGTCCTGTTTACCATTATCATTGAAAGTGAAGGTAACAGAAAATCCCATATTTTGGGTTGACATCAGAAAAGCAATAGAGCGGAATGGAGACACTAGCACTGGAGCCCCTGGTGACACACCAGGAATTCCTCACTTTGGAGAGATTTTCTCTCACTCCTTGTTTTGGCTATGGGACAGGAAGTTAATGGGGCACAGATAACAAAAAAAACCTGACATGGGGCTATAACTCTATCCAAAATAAAGAAAAAAAGTTTTGCTTTTAGTTACGCTTTAATCCAAAATTAAAATACATTTACCGGTATGTCTAAAGGGTTGTTAGTTCTGTAAAGTCAGTCTTCAGATTTACACCCCACAGGAAAGCAGGCAGGTGACACTTATTTTCTGGTTCAACAACTGAGCCTCCTACATCTTCTCTCTGTCTCCAAATTGTCTGATTGGCATGGAACCCCCCCCCCCCCCCAAAAAAAAAAAAAAAAAAAAAAATCATCAGACTCGATGGACCACTCGGTCTTTCTGCCTTCACTTTTCTATGCTGCTTTGGAATCAATGTCATTGTAACCTATCTCCACTAACAAGGACGTGATGCAGAAAGCGGTAAAACTGCATCAGCAAATAGCACTGATGATCCTGACTGTGTAGTGATTCAGACCTGTGTAAGTTACAAGATTGGTTGTACAGAATTTAATATTCATTGGCAGGCAAACCATCAATTATGTATCTCACAGCGTATATACCTGTCAGCTTGGGCTTTTGGGAGTAAAAGTAAAGTCAAGTTGATGATTACTCTTTAGAATGCATTAAGTCATACCACAGTTAGCAACTTTTTCATATAATAAGATTTCTTGGTGACCCTTAGTAGTTATACCAAAGACAATTATTCTGTGGCGTGCAATGACCAGGCTGGTAATCATGTGTTTCCTTTTACCTCTTTGAGCAGAATGTGACAAGCTTCGAAGGGATGGCTATCGCAGCTCCCAGTACTATTCCCAAGGACCAACATTCTCCTCCTCTCCAGACATGGTTTGCACAAGCTATCCAGAAGATGATGAAGAATACAGTCGAAAGGTATCCCAGTCAATGTTTTATTGTGCCATTTACCCAATAACAAAATGCAAAACACACATATCTCCAGTTAATTCCACTGGCATGGATACAGTATATTCATAATTAGCACACGGAACACAAGGCTAATTTACTGGAGATACCAATTACATTAACAATACAACTCACGTAACGCTCCAGTAATGTAATGAATAACAACACCCAAACTTTCCCTCCTAAACCCAAGATGTTTGAAATGGAGAAAACAAGATAATACGCAATTTTAAGTGAGCCTTAACTGGAACATACAACACAGTGGCATAAAAATATGAAAAACTTTATTACGTTATTAAAACATTGCTAAAACATACATCACACTGCACTGTTTAGCATTGTTTTAAAGATGTAATAAAGCTTTTCCTATTTTTATTCCAGTGCATTGTATGTTCCTGGTAGGGCACACTTAAAATTGCGTATTATCTTGTTTTCTCCATTTCAAACATCTTGGGTTTAGGAGGGAAAGTTTGGGTGTTGTTATTCATCCCATGTTATCTTGTTTTTTTCCATTCCCAGCATCTCGGCTTTGGAGACAAAGTTTGGAAATATTCACAAAGAAGGGAGGGTGCCATAAGGGCAAATATAAGGGATGGTACCCACCCCTGTTTAATCCCATGTAATGATCAACAACACTTCATGTGTAGTCCAGTTAATCAAGGTAGATCTGAAAATATTACTTCCCTGAACCCTACTTTGCAACAATCATTGGTCACAAACGTGTGCAGCCCTTTGGTGGATTAAAAAGAGTGGTTCATGACAATACAAAATACTGAACTACCCTACACCCAAAACTGGGGAATGGAGCTGTCATTTTATCGACTGACGTGACCTTTGTGAATTTCACCATTCCCTGATCACGGAGTGGTTAAATAGGGTTGCTTTATTTTCATTAAAGAATTCTTTGAAGTGCTTTCATGATGCAGATCTGAATATACTGAAACACCTGCTTTGCGTGTGCAGCTTTTTCCAGAACTCATCTTACCAAGCTGTATAGCTGATGAATGAGGGCTGGGGGAGGGTGTGATGGGAGGATAGAAGAGATTTGGGTAAGAAATTAACAGGCAGACAAGCTTATGGAAAGCATTTTAAATCCTGATAGGTGCTTTTGCCGTGTTATTTTCTCGGTTTTTCACCCTGTCATCCTGCTGTTTTCAGTTCCTGTCTAGTGACAGATGGGATTGTTAGGCATTGTACATAGTTATCTCTGTCACCAAAGCTTCATTTGGAGCAGGATTTTCTCCATTAGTTAAATTACCCTTAGAAAGGATGAACCGTGTGCAGAGTCTCTTTGGTGTTACATTCTCAAAAGCTATAGCAACAGCTGTACCAATTCTGGCATTGATCTGTAATTTCACTGTTTGGAGCTCTGTTTCAAGATGAAGCATAGCAACGTGTAAACAATATCAGTCCAGTTGCTAACTGAAAGCAGGTATATTGCCTATGATGAGGAGGATGTACAGTAGATGAGACAATTCCTGCATACCATAAAATAACACAGTTTGATAAAGGACAAACAGCATTAGAAGCTTTGTAAAGTGACACCCTGAGCTAGAACATCCACATGACTATTAAAGCTGAAACCGAGTGCGCAATGATGTCTATGGGGCCCAGCTACAACCTTCATACTCTTGGAGTAAACCAGGAGCATAGCGTAATTGGTCAAGGTTATACATCTTCTTGTCACTTCACAAGGGAGAATGCACTTGCAGACAGTGGTGTATAGAAAAAAGAAGCTTCTCTATGCCTTTTGCAATTATTATTATTATACAGGATTTATATAGCGCCCACAGTTTGCGTAGTGCTTTACAATTCCTATCAATGTTACTCGAAAGGGATGGAGGCCCTATTCTGCCCTAAATCAATCTCTGTCCCTGATCAGTTGTTCTAATAGCCAATATGAACACATTTTTTGGTATTCACACTCTGAACATTTGATGCTTAGCTTATTTCATATACTATTGTCTGTGGCATGCTTTTACATTCTCTCTCTTTTCCACACAGTCTAATGTGTTAGGATGCATCTGTCAATCTTGCCATAGTGTATGCTGTTGCTTGGTGCCCTGGAACATTAAGGTACAGAGGCAGTAGCTTAGATACACCTAGTCAGATGGGTTTAAGGGCTGTAGAGTTAGAAAATCTACAATGCTTCATTTTTATTATAATTTACCCTCAAAATTAAACTGATGTAAGGGGCCACTAATCCCAAAATAAATATGACATTGATCAAAGTATAGTTAAAAAAAGTACATACCATAGTTGTAATGCATTGCATAGGCTATAAATGTGTGGAATATACTTCCATCTCTGTTTTGAAGGATCAGCACACTATTTTCCAGCATACCAGTTCATTGTTAGATATTGCTGGCCTAAAGGCTCAAAAAAGTGACTTACAAATTTCAGAATGTCAGCTCTTTATAAATAGGCCCCATAGCGGTCATTTGTAGTAATTCTAATATAACCTATAGTGGAAAATGTATTAAAATACTTATCTACGGTAATCTTTTTTCCTAGCCTATGGTGGAAGAGTCACTATCATGTAATATATTATATAGCTGTCCTTTAACATCAGTCATTTGGCACTGAATAGTTCATACCATGGAATAATACTTTTTTTTAATCAAAACCTAATTTTCTATTTCTTTTGTCCTAATTGAACCTCATATTGTATTGAAATTTGAAAACATTATTAGAAATATCTTTATGACAACTTGTATTTTAGGTTTAGTGGTCCTTTAACCCTAAAAGCACTGCTCTACTTTTTGATCCTGTGGTGTCATAAATGTTAGATGTACTGAAATACAGTATATAGCACTAATATATGAAAATTATATTCTTCCCTCTGAAGCAGTGATGTTGCTTCTATTTGAAGAGCAGTTAAGAGACCTGTGGCCTGTGTAATAGCCTATGTCCTTGTACTTCTCTGTAGTTAGGAAACTTTACTACAACCTCTAATAAATTTATTGTTGCCTTGATAATAATACATCATGTTGCAAAACACAAAGTTTTGCTGTACGTAGCAATAATCTTTAACACAATGAATTTCATTTATCAAAGCATCTGACAGAAACAGGATCTGTCCTTTCATTATTCCGATGTAGCATAGAAGATGAAAGGAAGATTCTGATTGGTTGCGGATTACATTATCTGATGCATACACTGCTGCAGGATCAGATTACAGAGCAAAAAGCAATCTTCAATTTTAGTCAATCAGTTAATGATGCTTATGCATATGTATTGTTCAGTCTTGAACTTTGTCTAGGAATGCTGCTGTGCTTGTCATTAGTATACAATATAATAATGTAACCCAATAGCATGAATCTAACACTTGGTTTTCCTCAATAGCCTGGCAGGGATTTAATCTTCATGGTCCTCTCTAGTTTTAGAACTAAGAGAAAGCTCAATAAAGTCAAATGTAGGGTCAATTCACACTACAAGTCATATGTGAAAGTGATGTCAATCTATCCACATTTTCAGTATTATCAAAAACCAACAGAAAATAGATGATCCTTGATGTTGTAATTAAAAATAATTCAACAATATTTTAGCATCCCAATATTTTAGTAAAATATATCACATTAAGGATAACAAATAATAGTTTTTTTATTATAGGACCTCCATGAATATTGATGAGTTCAGATACTAAGGACAGTTTAACTCCCAAAGTGAATGCTGGAAATGTGTGTTCAGATCTGGTCCTCAAAGACCACCAGAAATGCATGTTTATCAGCTTTATTCACAGGTGTTACAGTTGTCATCTGCTCCCCTTTTGGTAGACCTCACAACCAGAAGTGGGGACAACCTGCTTTCCTACCTCTCCATTTAGTAGACAACCTCACAACGAGAAGGGGGGGCAACCGGGACTGTTGGCCAACCTTGTATAGCAGAGTTCAACACCACTGATCTATGTATGAACAGGAGCCAGGCGCTGTGTAGTTTTGTGATAAAAGTAATACACCTTATATGGAGGTGTGCCTTTAATAATTCATATGGTAAAAAATAGATAACCAGCCTGTGGCTTTAAGAAGCCAGGTTCCAAGATGGACGGCCCGTCCGCTCAGAGGGAAGTAGTGGAGTAGAATGCCTGTCAGTGCAGGGACCACGTGTATCCGACGTCTCAGCGTCCCGGATGACGTCACCACGATGTGGAGAGACGGAAGGGAGGAACTCTTGCTAGAGCCGCAGCTTTAGAAGGAAGAGGCCGGTTGCCGGGACAACATGTTTCGTGCGCATGCGCTTTATCAAGTCTGTGAAAAGTCCAGCAATCGGCCATTTTATAGGAGACCTGCACAACAGGAGGGGCCGGCTTAACAACCAGGGAAATAATCAAAGGGATAATCAGGAGCGGACGGCTCGTCTCACAACAGGATCGGATTGCAATTGAAATATAAAAAACATTATAAGGAAAGGAACAAAGTGTGATTAATATTTAGGTTTTAATCACACTTTGTTCCTGTCCTTATAATGTTTTTTATATTTCAATTGCAATCCGATCCTGTTGTGAGACAAGCCGTCCGCTCCTGATTATCCCTTTGATTATCCCCCTGGTTGTTAAGCCGGCCCCTCCTGTTGTGCAGGTCTCTTATAAAATGGACGATTGCTGGACTTTTCACAGACTTGATAAAGCGCATGCGCGTGAAACATGGTGTCCCGGCAACCGGCCTCTTCCTTCTAAAGCTGCGGCTCCAGCAAGAGTTCCTCCCCTCCGTCTCTCCACATCGTGGTGACGTCATCCGGGAAGCTGGGACGTCGGATACACGTGGTCCCTGCACTGACAGGCATTCTACTCCACTACTTCCCTCTGAGCGGATGGGCCGTCCATCTTGGAACCTGGCTTCCTAAAGCCACAGGCTGGTTATCTTTTTTTTTACCATATGAATTATTAAAGGCACACCTCCATATAAGGTGTATTACTTTTATCACAAAACTACACAGCGCCTGGCTCCTGTTCATACTTTCCACAAACTGAAGTGTTTTTACCATGGCAGCAGTGAGTTTTTTCCCCACCAATCACAGCTGACATATACCATTCACTTATTTCCTTTGGGACACATCTGTGCGCTTTTATCCAGACCGTTCCACCACTGATCTATGACCTATATTTTTCATGTGACAAAAGGCAGGTGTCGGAGACAACTCACAGCATCATTTTGGGCTGCTGTGACTAGTCGCACAGGATGTTCCTCAGAATTACTTTATGAGAAATCATGTCAAGTAGTATTGGACTATATTTTGGATCTTGTGTTTTCTTTCTGCAGACTGCATCATTTTTACTGAGTCAGACTTATTGCAATCACAACCTGATAATTAGATTTTAAAGGACAGGAAACGTCAATAAACATGTTGAATTACTAGCCTTTGGATGGGTTGTACTAGAGAAATAATTTGCAAAAGTAAAGTGAACAGTACTTGCCTAATAAAAAAAAGCTCTCAGAAAGCATCTAGGACAAGAGTGCTCTCTGCTGGTACACAAAAGTAAGGTCGGACGCATGCAGCGTTTTTTAGTTTTTTTGCTTGTAAATGTTAGTAGGCTCCAGTTTTGAGCAGCTTTTGTGAAGTATAAATATTTTTATACCAGTGCTGTCTGTAGCTTTAAAAATCTAACAGCAAGGTCTGTCTGTGCTGGATGCTTTTTAAAACTTGCTAAAAGCTTGTTGTAGGCCAACACACCCATAAAGATATATATTCAGCACTCCAAGACTGGAGTGAAAAGGTGTTTTAAAGGCTATAGCTTAAAAAAAAAGTCCTTAAGCCATCCATAGACAGATCGATTTTCTTTCCTGCAACCAGGGGTTGCAGGAAAGCAAATCGTTTGATCCCTCCATCAACGAAGTCAGGAGAGCACAGTGATTACTGCTAGCGGCTATAATAGCCGCTAGCAATAATCGCATGTAAACTACAACAGGCTGGTTGTACCCTAGTTGATTGATTGATCAATTTGAGTATGTTCAGCCTGCTCATATGTGGTTTGAATCTCAACCAGTCCCTGCTGAACTAGCCAAGATTAGAACCCTCTATGGCTAGCTTGAGCCTTTATGTATACCATTCGCCGTACGTTGACAAATCATTTACCTCTTACTAATCCATATAGTGACCTGTAATCAAGAAACGTGTGTTTTTTTTTACATAAAATATGTTTCGTACAATTAAAAACTAACAAATGTATATACTTTAGAAAAAAATGTAATAGAGGAATTTCAACATATTCTTAATTGCCTGAAAGCATTATAAAATAATTTAAAAAGGTGTTTATGTCCAGCATCCCAAATCCTGTCTCCATCTGTGCTCGACATGAGCCAACATGTGCAATCAGATTTACTAAGCAAATGCTGGAACCAAAGGACTTTACCCACTGTATAACAAAACACATCCTTATGTTTTACTTTAAAGAACATATTCATTTCTTTTATTAATGTGAATACATTCAGTTTAAAATAACAATACAGTAAGAGGCCTTACAGCATAGACAGTACAATTATTATGCTGTTTTCACATGGACGTTATTTAATCAATGGAAGCATCTAGGATCACTGGTGTATGATAGCCAGGGGCGGACTGTCCATTTGGAAACTCGGGCACTGACCGAGGGCCCGGGGTCAGTAGGGGGCCCCATGAGATGCTCCTGGTACCTTTTTCATAGGCTTTTTTGAGTTTGGGCAAGGACACATGATCCGCTATTGCCCTGGGGGCCCCATGAGTTGTCAGTCCACCCCTGATGATAGCACAGCATTTTCTCAATGCCAGAACTCAAGTAAAGTATTCCAGGCTTCGGGTAAAAGGCCTGTTTACTTTATGTAAACTCAAAGGCTTCTTTCAGACAGGTGGTAAGTTTATCACCCTCTGAAATAGGATCCAAAGATATATTTTTAGAGGGTGGTATAGCAGCAACTGACAGGCATTCAAAGATGCTACTTCCACCTCCTGATGCCCATTTTGTATTGCTTTTTTTTTATTGCTCGACAGTAATTTTATATTGGGGGACCACTCCTCAATTGCGTGCCGAGTTTTTGCCTCTTGATTGCAGTGCAGCCCCCTTGACCTCAGTTGGCATTTTTGACAGGTGATGCTGCCTGTCGAACTCTACTACTAAGTTAAAATATGTACAGCCCTGTCAGGCTGCAATTTTCTGATTCAGGTGGGCGGCTGAGGAACAGTAAAACCATGGTTCAGCCACCTGTTGTTACCACCCCCCACTGCCCATGTGAAAGAGCCTAAAACCAGCTTTTCTCAACATTTTTAGCACAGAAGAACCATTGAAATAGCTTTCTCGTATCAGGGTACCCCTTCTAATAGTTAATAAATATACATGTAGCTCATTGTACATTAGTGTGATGGTCATTGGGAAGAATGCTCCTGACATTTGTGGCCATTAGGAAGAATACCCCCTTGCAAACGGCTAAAAAGATATCAGTGTAAGTTGGAACTTATTTGAGAGGCAGAAATTGCTCCTTGCTCAATCAACCCATATAAACCTCTGGAGGGATCCTAGAATTCCACAGAACCCGAGTTGAGAAAGGCTGATATTAAGGATTATTTCATTTTTTGTGAAGAATTAGTGAATTGGCTGCTGACTTATTGTTCCTCATTACAGAAGATGATCCAGTGCTGTATATTTTTATAGGCACTGTTCTGCCCATGATGGGATCTTTGTAGAAGCCTATAAGATGACAGCAGTTTATGATCTGAAAACTGCAGATAGCAGCCAGACCATCAAAAACCTTGTTCCCTGGCTACAAAGTGTGAACTAAACCATTTTGTTTGGCTAACCCAGTGTTTCTCAACCTTTTTTGAGTCAAAGCACCCTTTTAAATTCTGCACAATCTTAAGGCACCCCTTCTAAAATATAAAAAACTATACAGCAATATCCACACATTGAGCACAATATTAGAGATGATGTATCCTTTCAAAGCAAATACACCTTTGTACACTGGTCCCTGAGATAATGTGACTTCAGTGCTGATGGAGAGGGGCAGAGTAGGGGCAAGCAAGGATGCTGTGCATGCGCCAAACGTCCTCCTTATCAACCACATATTGATTATTAGGACACCGGTGTCTAGAAGGTTGTGGTAGTGCACAATGAAGATCTGTGGCTTTGTGTCACTAAAAGGCAGGCTGATACCTCCTCTGGCTTGTGTGCAATTTGGGGGACATTTTTAGGCATTTTGCATTTTGCCAAGGCACCCCTGAAGATACCTGAAGGCACCCCAAGGTTGAAAAAGTCTGGGCTAACCAGAGTTGCTGTATAATTGGTTTGATCCTACACAGTAAGGACCCATATTGCACTTGCCAGTGTCCACCATTGGTGTGGAATTTACCAGGGATCTCTGAAGACGCTGTGTGCATGCGTTTTACATCAGAATAAATATTTTACTTATTACTTTAGAACATCTGAGAACTGGAACATTTGTTGGGACTGGTCTGTGATTAAATATAGACCATACTGGCCCCAGAGACCTGTTTTATTTACTCATTTACTCTATGTACACACATTTATGGTTCTGGACCTAGTACAAGGTGTTTAGATGCGTCCTACAAGCATGTTTTTGGCTGTGACACCCTTATGTACCTGTCTAAGTTGGAAGCTTTCTTGTACTTTTAACATATGACCAGGCTTTTCACATGACATTTTGGCAAGTGGAGGGTAGATTCATATGAATATATGGATTTTGTGTTCTGTTACATGAGATAAGTTTCTGCTACATGAGTTGGTTTCATGAATATAATTAAAAAAACAAAATGCTGACATATGAGTACCTTTGTGCAGAAACTCTTCACTATACTGTGTGCTTCTGCTTTGGTCGTTCAACTAATGGAACCTTATTTTTCTTTCAGTTTTCAGTCTCTTCAAATGAAGAGGAAAGGCTCCTGACCGGGAAGAGACCTAAAACCCCAGTTCCTCAGGAATTTTCTGATACACACACCAACTGGACCAAGGCTCTTCCATTACCCACTCCAGAAGAGAAAATGCGTCAAGAGGCACAAGCAATACAGACTGATGTGGTGCCCATAAATGTTACTGGTATGATCATTATCTTCTTATTAATAGTGTTTTGTCATATTCCTTTTATTTAATTTTTTTTTACATCTTCTTAGTCTTATTAGTCTAGCTAGAATGTGAATTTGCTTAAGGTCTGTTTAGTCAAATGTTTTGCAAAACAATGTTTCTATGTTGCCAAAAGTGAAAGCAGAATATCTGAGCATTGGGTTGGATAGGAACTACTCTACTGTGTCACACATCAGGCAGTGCACTCAGTATCAGCCAGTGTAAGTGCAAAATGTCCTGGATAGATTTTAGGATCGAATAAATGGACTTTAAGGTTTCAAAAGATCTTCACTTTCCAAATCTCTTCTAAATGTCTCACTATTGGCTCAGCTAGGCGAATGTATTCTCAGATTTCATTCAGTAAAATCATTGCATACATATACAATATAGCAGATATCCGTTACATTCTCTAAGTGAGGTTTTTAAAAAAAACCACTCCATTTAAATATCAGACCTAGTGAAGTAATTTTCCCGAGTCTTCTGTTCAGGAATATGTCCATTGGAGAAGATAAAGTGGTTGTAAAGCTTTGTTTTGTTTTTTTTTTTTTAAATAATAAACATGTTATACTTACAGCAGCTACTCTGTGAAATGGTTTTGCACAGTGCAACCCCGATCCTTCTCTTCTTGGGTCCCACGCAGGTGCTCCTGGCTCCTTCTCTTCATTCAGTGCCCCTATAGGAAGCTGCTTCCTATGGGGGCACTCATGCAGACTCACTTCTGAGCCCCGCTGCCTGCGTCCATAGACAGCGGGGCATGTTCCAGCTCCCACTCCCTCATCACAGAGTTTGATTGACAGCTGTTGGCTCCCACTGCAGTCATAGAGGCGGGAGAGCTGCTGCTCACATGCACAGTGCTGAAAAAAGCATGGGGGTGGGGGGGATCCCAGGCACAGAAGGTTTTTTACCTTAATGCATAGAAACCTTGACACTCAATTTAGCTGTTACAATTAACCTCCCTATTCATGTAATATCAGATAGTGGGGCCTATATGTCTGTACCAAGTACCTGAATTACATTCCCACAAACATTTATTAGATTTGTTATCCATAACATGTATGGATTTGATTGGTGGCTACTGGAAATTCCAGTTTATAGTACTAGTGACACTGCAGTCTCGATAGGAAGCAGCTTGCAGATATGTACTTCTTTTAGTCCACATTCACACTGTTGTGTGTTTCTTAATGCGCAGCACAACAGTATGCTGTATCTGCACATGTTGAGGTGCATTCAACTGCACCTCAACGCACATATGCATCAATTAATGCTGAAGAAACATTAGTAGACAGGTACATTTTTTGTTATTTTAATGGTTTTAGGTCTGTGTGTATTGTCTCGCACTGAGGTGATGGTAAACCAGGGCGACTGCCCATATGTCATATTTATAAGTGTAATAAAGCATAATTTTTGGAAATTTTTCTGAGTGTCACATTCTGTTCATAATGTAGCCGCTTTTCTGTGAATTTCTTTTCACAAATTCTCCTTTTTGCATGCCTTTTTGGCTACTGAATGGAGACCAAATATTGGGTGATACGATAATTTAATTTATTTTATAACCTCTCAATAATTATCTTTAGCACATTTTTTAACCTGTCTACTAATGTTTCTTCAGCATTGATTGTTTTCTTCAGCATTGGCGCATTCAAATGCACCTCAACGCACATATGCACCAATCAATGCTGAAGAAACATTAGTAGACAGGTACATTTCTTAACCTGTCTACTAATGTTTCTTCAGCATTAATTGGGCCCACTGAGATTGAATGGGCACACTCATCCCAACAAAAAAAAAACACACACACTCAAAAGGTGAAAATGGAACCTTAGCTGCCTTTAGCAAAGTGGTCCCTTAAAGGAGAAGTATAGCCAAAGTTATTTTGGCTATGCTTCTCCTGTAGCTCACAGGAGTGTAGTTCGTTCAGCCTGCTGTCAGCTAAAATGTGGTGAGAGAAGTCTGGTGTTGGCTGATGTCACAGACCCGGTCCGGGCTCTGAAAAGATCCACTCAGAAGCCTGGACTGGCACATGAATCAGCCATCTGCCGAGAGCCGTAGCCTGAGTCAGCCCCACCTGCCCCCTCCACAGCCCAGTGCTCCAGTGAGCGCTGGAGCGGCAGAGCAGAGAGCCAGAGTCTAATAGTCATAGCTCTTTGCTTATAGCGCAGGGGGAGAACTGAGCGATCAGCAGTGTTTGATCGCTCAGTTCTCACTGCAGAGCCAGCAAGGGACAGATGCAGCTTCCACCTAGGTGAGTATAAATTTTTTTTTTTTAAAGTGTCATAATGGTACACCATGACAGCCAGGCAATTAACATGCACAAGCAGAGGTCAGCCCATGTATTTCCACAGTTCAATATTTATAAAGCTCCAGTACTGGAAATATATACCTATTATATGGATCCTAGTACAAGGATCACAAAAAACGCATGCAAAAAAAAAAAATCAGTGGAGAAAAGGAAATGCATGCATCCATTTTCAGGACACTGACGCATAACAGAAAATACAGGACTAATGAACAAGCAGAACCATGTGTATAAGGGCAAACAAGAGGTTTTTCAATATTAAATCCCTACAGGTAACAACGCTACCTCTCCTAATACAAAATGTAACAACCACTGGGAAAACCAAAAGTTGTAATAGCAAGTCCACAAATTAGTGTCCGTTCCAATTTACACAAGAAAGTGCTTCAAAGACAGAAATAAAGAGGTGCTCCAAAGTGTTTTCTCCTTCAGGTAAGACAAACCACATGGATTTCACACCAAACTTACCGGATGGTTTTGACTCCTTGTAGTAGCAAGAGAGTCAAAAACAGCATGTGTACACAGTTTCAGGTATCGCAGCCTCCATATTCCCCATGCATTTTCCTCTGGAACTTTAAGATACGATAGTCTCCCCCATGAATAGCTCAGAATGTCTCCATACCCAGGCAATAAGAAAGAGGAGGAATCCCAAACAGTGAAAAGCACTGCTTTTTTTTTATTAAACAATATAATGTAATGCACTCCCATAATTAAAAACACTTTATGCCTTGTAAAATTGCATGATTTCATCCAAGAGGTTTTGCCCATACCAACCCATTCATTCCTTGCATATTTAGTTCTACTTTTGAAAACAATGCATGTTGAATCTAATTGGTTGCTGTGGGCAATGCACAAACCTCCATAGATCATCCCTGTTGTAAAAATAAAGAGAATGGGGTTTAACTGGTCAGTAACAATCAGGACTGGAATGTGCTCAGAGTATGATTGGAAATGTAACAGAGATCAGTTGATCTTGTTTACTGGGTAACAAAAAATACTTACGTGGTCACTGTAAGCTTAGTTAACTATATATACACAAAGTATATGTATTTTTTATGCGGTTTATCTTCCACATATATGCATTATTGCACTTATTAGTTGTAGTATCGCCACATCATTTTTTTGTTTTGTATGTATTTTATACTATATATCTTACTCTAAATAGAGAAGAAATACACATTAAAGGGCTGCTTTGTAGAACTGCATTTAGGATGCATGCTCATTCAGTTCCCTTTAAAAGACAATGGTGTGAATTGAGCTTTGGGAGTGGTTTAAATACGGGGAGGGGGGGAAGGGTGACATCTGTGGAGCATGAGAAGTGAGGGCTTGTGTGTACGCTCATTCTATAAGACCCAGGGCCTGCTGACAGCGCCAGAATGTAGTGACTAATGTATCGCACTCGCCCTCCCCAATACACTATGCTACCACAATGTTGTATAAAATGGAAGGGTAGCCCTATAGAAAAGGTAAAAAAGAATGATCTATTATAACTAATAATGGCATTAACAGCCATTTCACCACAATTTGGTTTGGGCATATTTCCCAATATAAAGGTTCTGATCCATAAGCGTTGGATATTGACAGATTTACTACTGTTTTGAGAATGAAGGCTTAACATGCAGGCAGAGACAGTGGTATGTGATGAGATGTTCTATTTAATAGAGGTATGCTGGGGTAAATTAAAGATACTGAACCTGATCTATTAAACTGCCTAAATGAACACCTGTTTCAGCTGAGTCACAGCAAATACTCGGATTCAGATCTTCACTAGACAGAGACAATGGGAGATTGATCCTTTGCTTTGAATTGTCTGATAGAGATGTTTATTTGACAGTTTTTTATAGATCAGGAGTCTGGGGGCTTTTGCATGAAAAGTGTGCTATCGAGAAAGGATTGTGTTACCTATAGTAACTGTCATTTCTGTAGTACAGGGTTTAAAATAAGGATTATCTGCAAACTTTTCATATGCAAGCCCAGGATGTTGCTTGGCTACTGATAGAATATTAATCCTGTGTCAAACTATAACTTTTTGGGCTTGATTTGCTGAGATACATAAATATAGTTTACAAGGGCGGAGGGGATATTTAGTATTTCTTTACTAATGTTATAAAAACTGGTTGCTGTTTTAGTTAGACTTCTATGAGATTTGTTGGATTACGGTTTTCTCCACACCACACTAAAACCTGATTAGAATGGTTTAATTCAAAAGAATGACACTTAGATCATCATGCATTTTAAGCATGTGTGAAAATGCATGAAAACACGCAGGTGTAAATGCAGCCTATAGAACTACAAGTCTCAGCTAGCTATGTAACCATCTGTTAGATTATGCTGGGTAACTGGAGGGTGGCATGCAGCTCATGCCTGCTCTGGGAAATTGCTGCTACTGCTGCAACTGAAATTCATTGACAGATGCTTTCCAAGAACTGCAACATGCTGTGTGGGCACCAGAATGAAACAATAAGTAAAACATTTTTTCCCTGTTGGCCTAGCATACATTTTAGAGTTCCTGTAGCTATTAGCACATTGCCATTTCTTGGTGTCTTTTGGTTGTATGCATGCCGTGTTTTATGGTGCTTGATGTTACCCACTGCTTGTTTTGTTCAATATACTTCATTTAAAAGAATTGACCAGGTCTCTAGGTAACGAAGAGTGCTTATTAAAAATGCATGCCATGAATGGATTTTAAACTGCTGCATGCATTGTTGTAATGTGGCCCAGGAAACTGGACACAGCTTGACAGTTCTGTTATTAAAGTATACCTAAAGGCAAAATGTTTACAATTTTGGGTAGAATAAGGAATGGTTAAAACCCCTGCCAGGTTTCTCTCTTCCATTTCGCCATTGGAGAGTTTTCCCTTCACTTCCTATCCTGTAGAGACAACAGGAAGTGAGATGAAATCTCTCCAATGTGTGGAAAGTCCCCAGAACAGGTGTCCATATTGGAAAAAGTTCCCTTCTAATGTTCTGATGGCAAATTAAATGGGTACACAGGGAGCAATAAAAACCTGACCGTGGTAGTAACCCCTCACCACTGTATCCAGTGCTGAATTATGAGTTTTGGCTTTAGATAAACTTTCAATTCTTGTTAAGCTTCTTATAACCATAGTACATGCTGTCACAATAAGGTTGTTTTTATTGTAGCCATTACAGTTTACAAGGGTACCATATACCTAATTGTCCAAGTGTCTAAAACAGGAGCTGTGCTGCCTCTATTAAATGTTCTAGAAGACTGCAAGGGAGGATATGGTTGCGATGGACAATCAAAGTAGTTCTTCCCGCAGCTCTCTTTTTTCCATTTGCTTTGAAGAAACAGCAGTTTTTCTCTTATACTATGTAATAAGTTCCAGACCAGCCCTTCGCATTCTTTTTATTTCAGAGGAGCCCTTGAAATAAAGTATTAGAGAACCCTAGCTAAAATTGAGAATTCTGAGTCGAACATTCTCTTTTATTGGTGGTCAGTTGGGAGGAATGCGTTCCTTTATAGTGGTGATCAGAATGCCACACTTATAGACAGCTAAAAAACGAATTGGTATAATGCTGCTGGCTCTGCCAAGTGGAATTGGACAAGAATTATGCAGGTACCATTAGATGGTAGGTCAGTCAGCCACAGATCAAGAAACCCCTAGCAACATTTGGAGGAACCCTAGTTGAGAATGGCTGGCCTTGACAGTAGACAGGGTTCTCGGCTTCTGCATGTTTCCTGTTATGAAACTGAACAAAGTTCACCTTTGGGAAATTTACATGTTCCACCCGTTTTTAGGGTGGAACATGTAACATGTTCCCATAGCTGTAGACGTGCCCTCCTTCTGACAGATTATACGGGGAGAAGTCTCCCCGAACTATCTGTCAGATTTGAAAACAGCTCAGCCGTGAGGGGCACGGCCACATCATTCACAGACTTCTTTGAATGACTGAACTGCAAGTCCTGACAGCCTTAATGGCAAAAAATGTGCATTTATTTTTTTTGTCCAAAAAGGTCCTTATCCTTTAAAGAGACATAAGAGTTGATATACTAAAAGCAAATAGACTGTGTACTTTGCAAGTGCAGTTGCATTCTGCAAGGGCATTCGCTCCAGAGCTTAGTAAATGAGGTAAAGGTTCACTTTGCAAAGATTACCCAATCATATGCAAGGAAAATAAAAAAACTGCGTTTTTGCTTGTACATGATTGGATGATGGAAGTCAGCAGAGCTTCCCCTCATTTACTAAGTTTTGGGTGAATGCCCTTGCACAATGCAACTGTACATGCAAAGTGCACAGTCTATTTGCCTATAGTAAAATAACCCCAGTGTCACCTTGCCAATGGTAAAGTGACAGTGTCTCTGGAAAAAGCATATATTTAAAGCCGAAGTCCTGTTTTCTGGCCCAAGCAGATCCAAACTATTATTTTCACATGCTTCTATTAGAAGTGCTGTATAAACTGTATATAACATCAGCTGCATACATTTTACAGTGCTATGTTCTGGCAGCGGGAGGGGGACTTCTGTCCGATTCCTGACACTAAATCGAGCTCTGTTCAGCCATTCACAGGAAGCTTTGTATTTGAATGAATACAAGGGTTCCTCTGATTGGCTGTGGTAGAGAGATGGTCGGATGATGCTACTATCTCCACCTCAGCCAATCAGAGGAAGCCTTGTATTCACTCATAGCTAGTCCAGACAAACTATTTAAGGTCTGTTTCACACAGACTTCAGTTTGTATAAGAGCTGTGTGAACAGCAAGCTTTTAAAAATAATTTGCAGAGCTTCCACCAAGCTTTGTTGAAGCTTTCAGGCCTTGTTTACACTTGAAGTGCTGTCTGAAGCACAGTCTTTGGATTGACAGCAATAGACAGGTGGTGAGGAGGCATTGTATAACCTGTTTTAACCCTCTGGACAACTGTGCGTGGGTGCAGCACGGCACCATTCACTTGAATGGGTTGCGCTATGTGGCCTGTACCGTCTGCCAAGTGCAACAGAGACTGTAATTCCTGCCATGGCCGCGGTATGTGTACACCTCCGGCCAATGCCTCAGCAACAACAGGCTGAGCGCCTCCCAACTGCAAGTCTAAGCGAGGCTGACTCATCTGACCAAGCTCCACCTATAAGTAAAGTACCACTTTTAAATGAATTAAAATGTGGCAATTACTGCATTTACAATTACTGATTTTGGTATGCAGTATCATCACTGATGTCCAATTTGTTCTTAATGATTTTTTTTTAATTACACTTGCTTTGTGGTTTGATCACCTTATTGTGACAAAGTGTACTGTCTTCAAAGTATGCCTTTGCTAGAACTAATACTAACATCATCATCCATTAATACCTTCTCTGTTATTGTCCCAATAATTTAGAGGTAACCGATGCATGATGTTAGCGTGCTTGAAATTAATGTTGCCTTGCTTGTTCTACTACTCTATATCAGGGGAGAATTTCGACCGCCAAGCCAGCTTGAGGCGGTCTCTTATTCACACTGACACTGTGGTAAGACGTCCAAAGAAGGTCAAAAGGAGAAAGACTATAACAGGAGTCCCAGACAACATACAAAAGGAGCTAGGTATGGCTCATCAGAACTGTATTCCACCAGCAACCATCATCCTCATTGCTCACCACTACCAGCCTAATTACATATACCGCCAACCACAAGCAATACAGTCTGATAGCCTTCAAAACATTGTAATTGTAAAAAATAGGTTACAGTCATGGTAAAATGGAAAGTTTACTAACTACTTACACTGGAATGTATCACTAAAGTGTTGTACTTACATTTCCTTTCCTGTTGTACCGTTTCTGACCCACATTAATATCTGAACTCTAACTAATATCAACTACCAAATGCCGCTGGACTGTCTGGTGATGTGCTGCATCAGCTCTGCTCTGTAGTACTGTGGCAAGGGAGACCATACTACTTTCATGAAAGCAGTGGTGTCTGTGTGGGTTTTACTTTACTGTAACTTATCCTAAAATTGGCATGATTTGTAATTGCTGTATGTGTTGAGCATGAGGGTGGTAGTCACTGGTTTGTGTGTACAGAAGTAGTCTGTAGCAATATTAGGTATTTGAAATCTTTTTTATTAGCCTTACTATTCTGCTGTTTTTGAATCCTATATTTGTAGTATTGAATAGAACAGTCAAGAGGAAAACAATGTGACCAATGACAAATAGTATGACTTGTTCAATCTTTTAATATATTGAATCCAGGCAATAGATCTGCTACCTCTAGTTTTCCTTTGTTTCTTGACTGTCCAGTCTTGTTATTTGCATTATTTTGCATGATGTAGTGCTGCCACTAACTTTTCAATCATTACCTGTTGAAACTGAAAATAATTTTGATTGTTCAATAATATTACTCCTATATAATTCTTTGCTTTATATTTGGCTTAAGTTGTTTACAAATCAGCAGAATTTTGCCATTCCTCTTATGCAGATCTCCTGTTTTTATTCTTTTTCAGCAGCAGGTGCTGGACAGATAGGTTTCAGAGGACATTCAATGCACATACCGGAGAGCTATAATGCACTGGACAATCTAGAGCCATGCCTCTCACTTTCACAGCGGTCTGAAACCAGGGACTTCAGTTGCCAAACTGAAGAGATAAAGATAGTACCTCCCTCTGTCCGAAGAATTAGAGCCCAGAAAGGACAAGGCATAGCAGCTCTAATGTCTAGTTCTTCTGGAAATATGTCCACCCTGAGCGATCCTGCAGGATGTACTTTACGGCCCAATGGCGATCTGAATTTCCGCAGTTTACCAAGGACAGGAGCTCGGGTCTGCCTGCAGTCCCTTGAGCAAAGGAAAGAGAGCACCAACAGAATAGAAGACTCTTTTATTACATTGCCACGTCAGCTAAGCAAATTGCAGGTGGATGACAGTGTTATTCACCTCAGGAATAACCATAGAGCTGGAACACTCACAAGGCCAAAATCCCAAGAAGTTAGGGGCTCAGAAAGAGAAGTCTTTTCAAACCCAGCTTGTGTGGTTTCCCCTCATGCAGCTTACTCCACAAGTGTCATCCCCAATGCCATGTTGTCCTCTTCTTCAGAGGTGATAGCCATTAACACATCTCAGAGTAATGGGCAACTGGAAATTAAAACAACATCCCATGGCTCATCTTCCAATAGTAAAAGTGTATGTCGAGAGCTCAATGTCAATGTTAAGGGTGATCACCGCTTCTGTAGTGCTAATTGGAGTGAGAACAGTTCACTGAGGCAATCTCAGGCCTCAGATGCAATATCACCTGGTGCCATGATGATTATTAACTTGAGTGAACATGTAATGCCTCCCAACAATACAAATAGCATGAACAATAGCCCGCAAACAATACCATACAAAATAAATGCAGCCTTAAATAGCCACCCACATGACAGCGATACACACAGTGAATCAAGCTACTCAGATGGTCGACAAAGAAATGGGAGCATAACCAGCAGCACTAACAGTGCAGACCAGTGGCCATGTGAAACTAGGGAAAATGACAGTAATGTCCCTTTAAGGAAACCATCATCCGCTGTCTCTGGCTCTCCTGTTAGTAATATGAGCACTTGTAGTTCAGACAGGAAAGCCGACTCCAGCTCACTCTATTCTCTGGACCATGATGGCTACTACACTTCAATGCACATGGATTCTGGAGTTGGATCAGGTGACCAGAGGCAACACAATGGTGTTCAGAATCCTCCACACAGCGTCATCAATATCTTTGATAAGAAAGACACTCTGAACCAGGATGATAGGTCAAGTTATAGTGACAAATCTCTTACCCGCAGCATATCTCTGAAAAAGCCAAAAAAACCTCCTCCCTCCTCCATCTAGGACAGACTCTCTAAGGCGTCCTCCTAAGAAAGACCTCCAGTCTAATGGCCAGGTGCTTAATGAAAAGCTTATTGCCACTCTCCAGCAATCATTACAGCTAAACTTGAAGAGTAAAAGTGGCAGCTCACCATCGCAGAGTCCGTGCAGCGACTATGAGGATCCTTGGGTTCTGCGCTCTCGCAGTCAGAGCACAGTAAGTGCAAGTAGTAGTGGACTGTCTGCCACAGCTGCCAACATGTACTCTATTTGTCCTATTACTCCCTCTCAGAGTGAGACAAGCAGCATAAGATCTGAATATGCTGATCAGTGGAGTTATTACATTGATGAGCAACCAAAATCTACATTGCACTCTCCTAAGAAATCGTCACATTCTTCTGAACAACAAATGCATAGTGGTCTATCCAAACCAATTAATGCATCGCCTGAAAAGCCTTGCAGAGTCACTTCACCTTCTAGTGGATATTCAAGCCAGTCAAATACCCCAACAAATTTAACACCTGTACCACTACTCTTGAGAAGTATGTCTCCAGGAACTGGAAAAAATAAAGTAAAGCCCAAAGTGCCTGAAAGAAGATCTTCTCTGATCTCATCAGTCTCTATGTCTTCATCATCAACTTCTCTTTCATCAAACACATCAGACTCTGCACCACAGATTATCAGAAAAGCTTCCATGGTCTTGCCATCTCCTCCAACACCCCCCCTTACACCAGACCCACCCCCTCCACCCATGATAAATGTGGTTGACAATGTTTTTTTGCCATCATCTCCGAATCTCCCACCTCCACCTCCAGAGGCAGGAGTGTTTCTATCACCTGGTGACAATCTGTGGCTGTCACATTCAGAAAATACTGACAAATATACACAAAAGGCATATCTCCCACCAGCTCTTCCCCCTCCCCCTCCTCCTTTTCCTACTTTGCACTCCAAGGCTGCTCCCAAAGTTCCCCCTTTTAACACAAAAACACTAAAAATGAGAAAGAATGAGCTGTTGCCTCAAAGAAATGAGGACAATGTGTTTGTTAATCCACTATATAACCCTCCAAATAAACCAGAATTAATAAGTCCAATAGCTCCTCTTATTACTGCTCAGGCACTGCAAATGGTGCAGTTAAGGTCTGTAAAAAAAGCATCACAACCAGCAGCTGAAAATATAGCTGAGCAGGTGCTAGAGCCAAAACTTCAGTATGAAACGTCACCCTTATTTTCACGGCCATCTACAGTGCCATCTGTCTCTTCAGATCTCAGATACAGTGAAAGCATCAGAGAAAATAAAAATCCGAACTTGCACGATGAGCAGCTACAGTACTCTGATTCTCCAAACAAGTCAGCTAGATTTACTACTGTTAAAAATACGAATGGTGGATACAGAGAAGAGAAATATCGGGATTCAACATACAATGGAGACAAAACTATGTTGTCCGAAATGTCATCGCCACAAGAGAAAGCAAGTACTTCCCAAAGTCCGCCAAATGCATCTCCCAACAAGAAGCCTCCTCCTGTTTCAAAGAAGCCCAAATTGTTTCTTATCGTTCCACCTCCGCAGCTTGATTTGGCAGCAGAAAAAATAGCTCAAGTCAAAGAAAATGTGAGAAGCATGCCAAAAGCCTCTGAGAATGATTCTGTAAGCGAACATTGTGAGGAGGTAAATGGTCGTGTAGCAGAAGAGAACAGTTCAGTAGAGCTTGCGAGTTTGAATTGCCAAGCCAGAGAAGAGGCTGTGTCCTCCTGTAAAGTTGCAGAGGACATCACAATTTTTACTCTGTCTCCTGCTCTGGAAATCCCAAATCACCAGGAAGAGGAGGAGCAGCCTACAATGTCTGATGAGGCCAGCATCCCAGATGGCAAGAATAGGAGCACAAACTGTGACCAAAAAATATTCCAGGAAGATGAAACTGGGTAAGAGAAGTCATTTTTTTCCTATACTATCCCAATTTTTTTTTTACTTTTTTATAGGATCATTTTGCTAGTTCTTAAAAGTATGACAGCTTTATTATTATGCTTTATTTAATTTATTTAGTGACTTAAGCAAGCACTCTTTTCTGAATGTATAAATGTCATCTCTAATGGTCAAAGTTCTTCACGATTTATTAACTACTAAGATGATGCTATTAGTACATAGTTTCTACACAATAGTTGAACATTCATTTTATTCCCTTTGTAGGTGATGTTTTTGAAACTGCAAGTTCACCCCTTCTACAGACCAATGACCGATTCAATGGCAGTGAGGAAATATTAAATCCAACCAGGCCTAGGACTACTGAGGATTTGTTTGCAGCCATTCATAGGTAAGGCATGTCTCTAGTTATTTTACCAATTTTTTGTTTTTTGCTTTCTTCACTGTCACTAACTCTGCAAATACATATATGTTGCCATCCGTGTTATTGCAGAGAAGAGCAAGACCTTTTTACAAGGTTATTTGTGTTATGTTTTCCAATTTTGTGTTCTGTTATGTATGTTCTGTTAACTTATGCTGCTTTTTACTGTATGCTTCTAGTTTACATTCAACTCTAGTATGCCTATTGGTTTCTTTATGATAACATAAACTACTAAGCATGTCATATAATGCACTAAGGATCTGTTTAAGGGCTTCCCAATCACAGATTAGAAATGTACAAGCGCCATTTACATGTAGCCAGAACTGCTGTAAATAACTCTGCAACTCATATGCTCTCATAAACTACTTTTAGATAGCTAAAGAAAAAACTTTGAAGAACTTTTTATTCTGTCTTACAGTTTCCTCTTAAATGAGACAAAATTATTACAAAAATGTGCCTCCATTGTTAGTTCCTACATTTAGAATACTGAAGAGGTCAGGTTATCTCAGCCTTTTTCAACCAGGGTGCCTTCAGGTTTCTTCAGAGGTGCCTTGGCAAAATGCCTAAAAATAGTCCAAAAATTGCACACAACTCTGCAGGTGGATCAAGCCTCTGTTTTTAGTTACACAAAGTCACAGGTTTTCATTGTGCACCACTACAACTTTTTAGCTGCTGGCGTCCTAATATACAGTGACTTCATCGATTTGATAAGGAGAGTGTCAGGCCCCTGCACAGTATTCTTGTTTGCCCTCCCCCCCCCAATCCTACTCCATCAGCACTTGAGTCACATTAGCTAAGTGAGGGGAGAGAAACATTGCAATACTAGTTAGTACCAGTTTGCAAAGGTGTATTTGATTTGGAAGAATAAGTAACGCTGGGTGTCCTCCATGTGTGGATTTTGTGTTCTGTAAAACTATTATAGATATATAAGGTGCAGCGCTAATAAATATAATATAAAATAAATGAATCCAATATTAAGTAGAAAAGTTCATGTATTGTATCAAATGAATGATCAATTCAGCAGCAGATTTTAAATAGGCTTGTGACAGGAACCGATAGAAAAAGTGCGCACTCACCGGAAGCGCATAGGTAACCACCAGGTTCTCTCTAGATAGGCAGGATATATAGGTGAGCTTCCATCTATGGATTGGTCATCAAGCCTTGGGACAGTAGAAATCTGCTGGATCCAGAGGTGCCCTTAAGGATGGATGGGGTGCTCAGCCAGGGCTCCCTTCCTCTGGATTTGACATCTATTTAATATTGGACTCATTTATTTTATATTATATTTATTAGCGCTGCACCTTATATATCTATATTTATTTGGAGGTTTACCATGGTTACCTTTTGGTGTTTCCGCTGCTGCTATAAGAGTGCTCACTATATTTATTTATTTATATGTAAAACTATAAGTTTAGGTTTTTTTTAATGCTTTAGAATGGGGTGCCTCGAAATTGTGCAGAATTTTAAAGGATGCCTTGACTGAAAAGTTGAGAAACAGTGGGTTGGATGCCTCAATATAACCAGTTGTAACCAAGTAGATGTACTTAGTGGCAGAAGCAATGGAAATTAATACAAACAGTAGGAGTCTCTTCTGGGGACACATATAACATTACTATGAAGGGAGTAGGCTTAAATAAACACAGCAAAATATAGTTAAATGTGCGACCCTCAATTCAGTGGACGGTTTCTAAAATGAAATTGTTCTGTCAATGAGCGATCCCAGTCTCAGTACTTCTTTACTGCTTATGTTGAAATGATACATGGATAAGTTATTCTTAGGGATTTATATATCGTATACCATTAAACTGGTAAAATTCATAATACTGACGTATCTTCAAAATTTGACTCAGAACAATGTTTTCACACATAGAAGCTGACTTTTAAAAGATGGAACTTAAGCCCATATCAATCAATTGGGATCTGATCATCTTTAAAAAAAAATCTGATACCAGGACTTCTGTGTCAGCTTTTATAGCTTTTTACCTTTCCTTAGATAACATGCAGCTAAACTGGAAGTCTGCTAAGAAAATTGGCAGTGGATATTGAGGACAGTCATTTGTACTCTACCAGTAGGTAGTAATCTGGCTTGTCTCTTGTGTTTATTGAATTTTAATTGGGATATCTGGCCATTCATCTGGCAGTATGAAATACACACTACATCACAACATTTTTATATTTATTTCTAACTTTATATTAATTACAACTGTTACATGTATGATGACCCTGTATACAAAAATAATGCCTTATCTGTAGCTAATGTTTATTATACATGTCTCTCTTTTATTTTTCTGTTTGTTTTTTGTCTGTTGATACTCCCTTCTTTCAATTGCCACTGTCAATACCCCCTTCTACCCTCTGCTGGTTCTATAACACAGTTTTGGACAGAGTGTCAACGCCAATGCCTCTTGGCAAGCATGGCTGAATCTGGCAAGTAAAAATATACCCAGGACCCATACTGCTAAGTGTATGACCAGTGTTGGATTATTGTATGTCTAATTCATTCCAACGTCATCCAGAATTCCCTCTGTTATGACATTGTGGACCTAGTGGTATTCCCCAGACAGTTCTGTACTTGGGAACATTTTCACTCATTAATCTTCATGCATTTGCTGTAATAGAAAAAATTTAAGTTTTTACACATTTTCCTTACCATGCAGATGCAAACTATGTTCTCTCAATACGTTTTCATGTTAACTGTGCAGTTCTATTTAAAGGAAAAAATGGCGTAGTAGTATATCAAAGGCATGTTGTTGCTCTGTGAAAGTGTGCAGGGGAACTGCCTTGGTTTAGCACTTTCATTTCAGATGCTGGCTTTAAGAGTTTTATTTAATTTCACAATATTGGGAGGGGTGCTAAGATCAACTCCTCTCAACATTTATTATATGTTTTATATCCAGTTATTTTTGTTTTATCAAAAGTTGTCACAGCATTTCATTTATGAATTAAACAATTTTAATTGCAATTGTAAAAAATATTCTATGATGGAGAAGAGTGCTTGTCACCCAAAAGGGGAAGTTACGCATTTCTGACTCCTCCCTCCCTCCTCTAACAGTTTTGGAACATTTTTTTCAAGAAGTGGGTACCTGGTTTTGACACCGCTCCCACTTCCGCCCTGATCGCCTAGTCAATCTGAGCAGAAGTTCATCCCCCCCCCCTTTGCATATCACAGGTCTTTTGCTTCACAAAGCACAGTGCTGCTCGCGAATGCTCAGTGAATAGCCAGCTGCCAAGCTGCAAGGCTTCAAAGCTGGCTTCTGTTAGTTAAGATGCCTACGCTGGGGAGCCCAATAGCGATGAAGAACCAGCTTGGGCGATGAGGATAGCGCTGGATCCCTGGACAGGTAAGTGCCCTTATATTAAAAGTCAGCAGCTACATTATTTGTGGCTGCTGGGGTTTTTTAATTATCTGGGGGGGGGGGGAAGTTTTGAAGCGCCTCTTTAAAATCACCTTGGTTTAGAAGAAAAACATGGAGAAACTGAGATTGGATGCACTTTGTTTGAGATATTCCGAAAATTTGCTTCAAATCTGCATAGTTGATGATGCTTTGAATGATAGAACTCATTACCTTGAAATAGATTTCTTTTAAGTTGGCCATACCTGATTAATTTTTTTTCTTCATTCAACCAGCGGATTGAATGAAAAAAAATGAGCCAATCTCCCCATCCATATATCCGATGTATTCAATTGTATTCTGCCTGTGGGGAAAGCTCCCTGCCTTACATATTACGATAGCACAGCAGGAAGATTCCCCCATTCACAACAAATGTGTGGATGGGGACATTCTCCTGCTGTGCTATTGTATTCTGTGGGGCAGGGAGCTTTCCCCACCAATGGAATACAATGATTAGTTTTGCCAGCTATGCCCGGTGGCAATGATTGTTTGGCAAAAACTAGTGGTGCACTGAAATGAAAATTCTAGTACCGAAACCCAAAATTCACTTGGCCGAAAACTGAAACCGAAATGCGCAGTTTTTAAAAATGAATAAATATTTTTTTCTAAAAAAAATACATTTTGAGTAGTAAAAAAAAAAAACAATATATACCTAAATTTTTTGGTAAAATATGAAAGAGGATGTTTATGACGAGTAAATATACAACATGTCACGCTTTTTAAAATTGCGCACACTCGTGGAATGGTGTGAAACTGCGGTACTGAAGAATCTCCATGGGTGATGCTTTAAAAATTTCTACAGGTTAGCAGTGTAAAGTTCAAGAGGGGTTTTAGTGCGAGAATTATTGCTCTTGCTTCGACATTCATGGCAATACCTCACATGTGTTGGTTCAACACCATTTACATGTGGGCATGGCCTACGTATGCATTCACCACTATGTGATGGGGGCACTGTAAACTTTAAAAAAAATTTATTTAATGGTATTTTGTTTTTTTTTTTGTTTGTTTTTTGGGGATTTTTTTGCACTCTTCCTTTAAAAAAAATTTAATCACTTTTATTCTTATCACAAGAATAGCATGCATCCCTTGTGATAGAAATAATTAGTGACAGGTCCTCTTTATGGAGAGATATGGGATCAATAAGACCCCATATCTCTCCTCTGCAATGTAAAGCATTAGATCAAAAAAAAAGCATTGATCTAGTGGTTAAAAGGAAAAAAAATGGCCAGAACAGGAAGTGACATTGCTCCGGTCCTCCAAGGGCATAGAGATGTGTGGTGGCCATCTTTTCTTCACTCATCTCTATGCCCAGGGCCGGGATCGATTGTTTCTCAGGTAAGGCTGAACTACCGAACGGCGGCCAATAGCGGCAGCTGCCAGAGGGCGGTGGTGACAGCAGGTGGGCGGTGAGGGGGTGGGGTTTTTTGCGGCATCTGTATCGGTGCTTTTATGCATTTCGGCCACTGACCGAAAGGGGTGTTTTCGGCCAAAATGTTTTGGCCACCGAAATTTCGGTGCATCCCTAGCAAAAGCCCAACAAGCTGGTTGTACACAAGTCAACCAATAGATCGACTTGTG